GGAGAAAAAAATTGATGGAAGATGCTTATAAATAGCACATAAACATAGATATAAAAAAATAAGCATCAAAGAAAATTTTACGAGTCCGAATCAAAAAGCCCGTCTATTCATACGACACGATAGCTAATAGAAATAGCTTTAGAGAGTTAACATCCTAATTAGATCTACTTAAATAATAAAGCAGCCTTAAAAGCATCCTCCTTGATTTGGGGACGAGATAAGAATTTAAGGTGAGAGCTTAAAGGACCAAATTGAACTATTAACTTTGTGTAAGGTTATTCGTCTGACGCGTAAAGACATCACCAAACTAGCAGAATGGATGAAGATAACTTAAGCGATACGATAATAAGTAACCCACAAAAGGAATTAACAAGCATGAAGGATTGAACATTAGATAAGGCAGAACAAAAAGTAATTTTAACATGTTTATTGCAAATAGATAATGCCTTAAAAATCAAAGACCCAAAGGAAAATTTAACCCTAGCATTCGCCAATGACATTCTCCGATTTTGTCTCTATGGGAAAAACAGGAGGCTGCTCAAGCCCATCAAACATCAATTCCTCTGTATAGAATCGGTCAAATGAGAATCTGGTCAAGTCTATCGTTTTATAATGGGCATTGCAAATTGTCTCGGCAATAGCACGACCGGCTGCGATGCAGTGCTGTGGAGCGGTACCTGAAAATCCACTGCAAAGAAGTATGTTGGGGTGAAAAGGATGTGGGCCGATGATTGGACTCTGGTCAATCCGATTATAGTCAATGTAGGTTGCCCAGGCGGAACGCACCTACGAATTTGTGTTGAGCAAAAAAGCTTAAGCATTAAAAATTAGTTACAAATGCACCGCAGACAATAACGTGTAAACCATTGAATTGAATACCATATACCAAGATTTGGAATTTATCGAATGAAGTTGGATAGAAGTGGAAGCCTATATTACCCACGAGCTAGATTCAGATTGAAAGATTACAGCAATGTTGCAAAAGTATTCAACTAGAACAGAATTTTTACTTAGCCAACACGAACAGTAGTAATACATAAATAAAATCCTTGGTTTAAGATCCAATAATTTATTCTCGAACAAAATATTTGCATTGA